ATAAAATTATAGATTAAATGAATAACATTATAAAAAAAAAAAAAGACAGGTGGCCTTAAAAAACAGAAAAGAACTGATTGTCTATTTTAATTGTCCCGTCTTGTGCTGCACAATTGCATCTCCCCTGTTGTATGCCTGGCACTGTATATCTCATTATATCGTATACAGTATACTCAACTGTAGATTAGTATTTACTGTTTGTTATAGGTAGATTAATATTTGCTGGTTTTTTTTTTTTTTTTTTGTACAATGTATATACACACAATATATTGAGAAAAACCATTCACTGTGTTACATTTTGGATTGGCCGTAGAAAGGGATTTGAAATCCTTACCGAACCGGAATGTGAAAATTTTCATATAATAAATATTATTTTTTACACTTTTAAAGTAATATATATTTGTATCTATATTTCATATTGTCTTTAATTTATTTTGTTTATCATACTTGTACTTGGTATAATTATAAAAAAATTATAAAAATCTTAAAATATACTTTTTTTGGAAATAAAAAAAAATACACTTACTAATAGTTAAAGTTTTATATTCATCCTTTTAGCTATTAATAAGGGTGGTAGAGAAATATGATGTTTTTTTCAAGAAATGAAATAATTATTAATAAAGGTAAACCTGAAAAAGAAGACTCACTACTAAAATTTTCCTTTTCAGTAACTAAGTATCAGTAACATGGATCCTTCACCAACAAGACTTATGTTGTTGATATTTAAATAGTACACTTTTTACTAAAAAGTGTTCTTCACTTTCAGCAACAAGAACCATGTTGCTGAAATTTTCTGGCTACTATTTATGACCTGGTGTTTCACTAATTCCATAAATTAATCAACAACATGGGAGCATCTCGGTGATATGATTTTTTACCGAAAAGGCCCACGTTGCTGATACTTAAACGGTACATATTTAGCCCAAAAAGGGTTGTTCACTTTCAGCAATATGGTTCTTGTTGCTAAAAATTAATTGTTGTTGAAAGTGAATTTCAAATAAAGTTGACTATGCAATATGAAGATTCGACTCCCAAATTTAAGAGAGTGAAGTTGTTGTGGACACTAGGCAGAGTCGACTCTTTATTGAAAAAGTCGACTCTTACACAAAAAGGAGTCCATTCCCATTTTTGGTAATCCACATTTAAGAAAAAATATTTTATATTTCTATATGAAATATTTATATAAACTTAAATATATGTACACATTATTTTTTAAACTATTAACAAAATTTTACTGATGTAATTATATTAATAAATATATTAAATGTTACATGATATTTAATAAAGTAATAAAAAATTAAGAAATTGAAATTTAAAAAATAAAATTTGAAGTATATGAACCAAACAACAGGCGGGAGATGGGAATTTCAAATTTTAGCAAGATGGTAGCCGTCGGTGATAGGTTGTGGTTTTTGAAGTTTGAACACCTTTTAGCAACATGGGGCATGATGATGATTGGAGGGCAAAGCTTCCAGCAACATGACATATGTTGCTGAAGGTTCTATATACACCTCCCACTCACCCCACACTGAAATTTCTTAGCCTTCTTTTTTCATCATTTTTGCTAACATATGTCACTCATTTTTTATGAAAAACTTTTTAATTTTCTTGAGGTGTATATTTTGATTTTATTGTATTCATTATATGTATGAATATTCAGTGATTAAATATGTTTTAATTTATTTTCAAAGTGATAAAATTTTAAATGATTGTATATATTACTTACAAATTTTGGTTTTTTGTTTGTTTTGTAGGTAAATATCAGTAAAGTAAATAAATTCAAATGTCGAATGCTCCATGCACAAGTTAATTGCCTTGAGATGTTTCTTTTAAATGTATCTAGATAAAAGTTTGGATATAGGTGGTCAAAATAAATATTAATTATTCACTTATAATTTTTTTGTATAATTTATTATATTTAATAAAATTTATTTTTTTAATGATTATAATTACAAAAATGAATTTCATAATTAAATTTTATAATGATAATATAAAATTAATTTATTTAAATTATTTATAAATAAAATTAAAATTAAGAAAATGTATTTATAATATTAATTAATAGAAAAAATTTATGAATTGGACTATCAATGAAAACTTAAGAAAAAATAATAACATACCCACTTCTCAATGAAAAAGGCAGTCAATTTGGCATTGGACTATCACCGACGTGGAATATGTCGGTGATAGTCAAGGTGAATGAATCTCCAAACCACTATTCACGAAGTCATCAATAACAAGAGTCTTGTTGTTGAAAATAAGGCAAGGTACTATTCATTTGATTATCAACAACAAGACCCTTGTTGCTGAAACATCTTAGGTTGACTATTCCATAAATTATCAGCAACAAAAGTCTTGTTGCTGAAAGTAGGTTGATTTATTGTTCATAGAAGTATTAACAACAAGGCCCATGTTGCGGAAAAGAAGCCACAATTGTAGTCCCCATTTCCGGTTATAATTTTCAGCAATGTAAGGTATGTCTGACGTGGCTTATGTTGCTGAAAAAGGTGCACAACTCTGATGGACAATTCCAGTGACCATTTTTAGCAACATAAACCATGTCGGTGATAATATATTTTCACC